AAATCAAAGTTTAATGTTCTATTTTTCTGCACCAACTGGGCATGCACCATGAAATGTGCTATGATTGGGGAAATTGACTAGAACCAGGCATTGTTGTTTTAATGTATCAAATACATCAATAAGAAACTATGTGCAAAGTTTTGTGTTTCTGGATCAAAGATATTTCTCATAAACAGTGACTGAAAGTTGAGTAAATTCTTAAGTCTGAGAATGCCAGTTCCTTACTCCATCCCTTACGAGCTGCACCAATGATAAGGGGGAAACCATGCTGTAAAAAAATCTTCTTGGTCAACCAGCTAGGGCCTTACTCAAGGAGCCACGGTGGATCCTATGGTATTAAGAATCAATAAAAAGCCTATTTGAAGAAATAAGATTTAGATTTAATAACAAATTGTGATTTCCGAATAAAATGAGATAATTTGTTCAAGAATAGAGCTGCGAAGATGGTTTGTTCTCGGAGTGCTGGCCGACTGTTAATACATTGATTAATCAGAAATCTATATCTGGTTAAAATTTGTCGCTCAGGTATAATAACGAGGCCAGAGGGCGTTAATTAGATCAATCCTTACTAATAACTGTCAATAATTAATGAATTCAATTTGTATTTTGCGAATTATTTTAGTGTTATTCAGATCCATATATTGTATCGTTTTTTTATACTTTCTATGAACTACACTACATGAATTTCTGACAAGTTGTACTAAAAGGTGGAGTCATACGAGCGGTTTTTGACCCTATGACATCAGACATTGATTAATCAATCAGCGTTGACTTTTCTAGTGGTTTACCCACAGTTCCGTGCATGGTACGCCAAGTAGTCACCGTAACAGACAATTTCATTGGGTTTCTCAACCAAAACGCCGGTAATATAACAACTCTTCCAGATCCTAGTGTAGTGAAGACAAGTAAAACGAAATTTTGAACTATAAAAACAAAATAGGATCTGTGTTTTAATCAAATTGACTGTTATATTTGTTAGAATATTATGTGCAGTTGTGAATCTCTAATAATATTTTAGTGTTTTGTTTAAAGATACATTATGGGAGATTCGGTAACGAGTTGGCACTTCTCACTATAATAGTTAAACACTAGATAATGTAAAGGCAATTTGCTGAAAATTTTATTCAAATTGATCCACTATGAACCGAGAACTAAGCGACTGAAATTCCCCCTAGCCTCGGTCATCATTACTTAAGTCAGTACAATAAACAGCATAGTCTCGATTATCCCCTTAATCGCTAAATCGAGGAAAAAAGTTATGCAGTAAATCGGCTCACAATCAACTAAAGATCACAGGCTAGCGCTGCCATTTAGAGTTGATTATGTCCTTGATAGGTTAATTAATGTCTAATTAATAATTTAGATAACATTTCTGGCCTAAAGAAAGACCTGCAATAGACAGATTTAGCTCTTGCATAATGTATGTTTAAGTAACTATGAAAAAAAATAGACTACAGAAATATATATATGCCTAACACATTGGTTGTTTTTGTGAATTATTTTATTTATTATTTAAAGTTGCTTTCAAATGTACAAACTGGGTGATTTGATGATATATTTGGACTAAAAACATATTCAAACTAAATAATTGATCAAACATTTGCTCCAAATCCCTCGCAAAACATTGTATTCTCGAGGAAATACCCCAAGCTATAAAAAATCTATTTAAAGAAGCCATGTTTGTGTCACTGGCAAGCTGAAGGAGAATTCATTGCATATAAACTACGAAGATGTCTTTAATCGCTGTCCATCTACCATAAATATCGAGGCCAAAGTAAATTCTGGGATTATGCCCTGCCCTCATAATCTGTTGTATGTTTAAGTCTCTCACTTTTTCCACGTCCACTCACAATCAGGTTTATCAACATATACATTAAGCACTCCCTAATGAAAAGAGATCAGACGATCTATGCATGTAACCTTTGACATCACTCAAGCAGACAGAAGTAATTGTCAGACTGCCAATTAGTGACACCCTGTGCGCGCTCCAAGAATGTTTACCAGGGAATCCAGTATTTTTCTAGAAAGATTGGGTGCCTCTACTTTCCATATCTCAAAATTGCCATACTTTTATTGGAAATAACTACCCGATATATACTTTTGTGGGAATGTCTCTTTAATAAAAGCTACATTTGTTAGAATCTATGCAGTTGTAAATCTGTAAAAATCTAAAGCTTTTTGATTTATAAACAGAGAACAAGCTAAAAAGTATTACATGGTTTAACACTATTTGCATAAAGTGGAACGGCCATTTTGAAAGGAAGTTTCAGTCTGATTTTCACAAAATTTGAACTCAACTGTAATTACGGTGTAACTGTGATATATATGAATGATTTTTAAAACCGGATAAAAATTGTGACCTCCATTTTCACGAAATTCGAACTCAACCATCATTAGGGTGTAACGGTGATATATCTGAAGGTTTTTTTAAAATTGGGTCCACATGCCAAAATGCTGTTTTTCGTATAATCAATTAAGGTTCGATACCCCGATATGCACCAATAACAAAAGGAGCTGAGATATTTGGGTTATAAACATACATTTTAAGTTTCGTCAAAATTGGATAAAAAGTGTGACCTCTAGAGTGTCCACAAGCTAAAAACATGATTTTTTGTTACATGCCAATATTGAAAGGAACTAAGATCTTTGGCATGTAAAAATATATTTCAAGTTTATCAAAATAGGATTAAAATTGTGACCTATAATAGAGTGTCCACAAACAAAATATGAATGGACAGATGTCCAGACGGACTGGGGCAACAACAATATACATCCATATGAAAATGTGATATACAATAATTAATAGAATACAATATCCAAAAACCAAACACTGGATAAAACAATGTTTTTTTGATATTGTATTCTAGTAATTATTGTATATCAACTTACCTAAATATCAAATGCATCATTTTGACTTAGTCAAAATTGATCCCATCAAACCGTCTGTATTTGGTTTGTGTTTCCTGTTTCTATTGATTGGAAGTTTCACATGAAAATGTGGGCGTATAAAAATAAACTATAGTTTTTAACACCATTATTTGTTAGTTAATAAAGGCTACATTTGTTAGAATCTGATCAGTTGTGAATCTGTAATAATCGAAAGTTTTCTGCTTTATAAAAAATAAACTTTTGTTTTTTTAACACCATTGTTCTTGGATTAGGTAAGGATTAGTGGAAAATACAACATCAAAGGCAGTCGGCCAGCACAGCGAGAAAACACTGCGAAAATTTAAGTATGATAGTATGACAGAAGATATAAAAAAAAAAAAAAAAAATCCCTCCTGCATGTGATTTTTTAGAAGTATTGTCTGAGAGTCAGAGAGAGAGAGAGAGAGAGAGAGAGAGAGAGAGAGAGTTTAACATCCACTTGACACAAACTAGGTCATTTTGGAACTAACACATGATTCAATTCTATTTCAATAATTCACTTGCGCATAGGGGTCTTTAACATTGGGAGGAAACTGGAGGACCCAGATAAAACCCACGAGGTTGGATAGGCTACCCTACTCCTTGTCACGTAGAACCGGGGCATAGAAACCACGCCAGCTGACTCAATGACAGACCTTATGATGCACAGAGAATCAGAATATTTATTTTTTTGTATTGCCTTAACATAAGCACATCTTAGGATTTATCTACAAGACCGAGGCTTTAAACACACATAATATGTACATGAATCAATCATGTAAATACATGATATCCTAACATTGTTTAAGCCATTCTTTCTGTTTAATTTATAAAGTTAAAGTATTTGACCTCTTTTTAAATTTGTTTTTAAGCAAATTGTTGATCTGGCTATTGACTGACATCCTAACACAAACAGATCTAAACAAAGGTTGTTTTTTTTCTTAAGAAAACATCATTGTGGTATAAAAAAAAACCCAACTGAGTCAACTAAAGCTTGCCAGTACAAGGTCATTATATACTTCATGATTAAATGTGGTTTAAATGTCAAGAGTGAGATGTTTTAAAAGTAATATATTGATTCTGTACAAGGACATAGCCTTTTTATCCACCCGGGTTGACCCCATTGTTTAAATCCATCAGTGTTGAGGCCATTTTTTTATCAACCCCTGTTAAATCCTCTCGTCCACCCCTGTTAAAACCCTTTTTTCTCTAACGGTGTTAACCCTATTTTCTCCACCCCTGCTAACCCCTTTTTTATCCACCCCTGTTAATCCTTTTTTCTCCACCCCTGTTTAACCCGATTTTATCCATCTGTGTTAAACTCTTTTCTCCACTGGTATTAAAACCTTTTTTCTCCACCGGTGTTAACCCTATTTTCTCCACTCCTGCTAACCCCTTTTTTATCCACCCCTGTTAATCCTTTTTTCTCCACCCCTGTTTAACCCGATTTTATCCATCTGTGTTAAACTCTTTTCTCCACTGGTATTAAAACCTTTTTTCTCCACCGGTGTTAACCCTATTTTCTCCACTCCTGTTAAACCCTTTTTCTTCATCCCTGTTTAACCGTTTTTTCTTCATCTGTGTTAAGCCCTTTTTTCTCCACCAGTGTTAACCCTATTTTCTCCACCCCTGCTTACCCCTTTTTTATCCACCCCTGTTTAACCCTATTTTATCCATCTGTGTTAAACTCTTTTTTCTCCACCCCCGTTAAACCCTTTTTCTCCACCCCTGTTAACACCTTTTTTCTCCACCCCTGTTAAACCCTATTTTAATCGTCTGTGTTAAACCCTTTTCTCACTATTTTATCCATCCAACCCCTTAAACTCTCTATATCCATCTGTATCAAAACCCTTTTTACCCACCTTTTTCAATCAACCCATGTTTAAAGCCTTCTTTATCCAGTCTGTTAAACAATTTTATTATCCATCCGTGTTAAAAAAGGTTAAACCAATTTTATCCACCTATGTTCAGGGTGGAAATTAAATGGTGAACAAGGCTTGACTAATCTTCTATGGCAGGAATTAAACCTAAGACATTCTAGTCGACTACCACAGTTCCTCTTCCTATTAAAATATCTTCATTTATTGACTTACCTTAGTTTTAAGGCGATTACAGTCTTCTTTATAAGATGCTAGCTGTTTCTTCCACTCGTCAACATTAGACGTACTTTCTTGTAACGCTGCTGTTAAACGAGCGTTGTTATTTTTTAAAGTTTGTAATTCTACCTCCCATTTCTTAGCATTCCCTGAACTAAAAACAAAACAAAAATTGATAAGTTTCTTCCATCTTCATTAATTTATTTTTATGTTTCTATATTTAAATAACAATAGGCCATACTACAAAAGTATTCCGGGTTTCAGACAATACTTCTAAAAAAAAAAAAGGCTACACAAGAAAAATATTCTGATTTTTACTCTTAGACAATGTTTCAAAAGAATCTGATGTGGGGGGAGGTGCATGCTAGGCTGAATACATGATTATTGATAAGCACTACAGATAACTAGGAGCCACAGTGGCTCAGTGAGTAAGATGTTGGCTCGCTAACTTAGAGGTCCTGTGTTCCCCCTTGTCATTGGTGCAGGGACAACGTTTAGTCATTCGGGTCGGACAAAAAAAAAAACAAGGTCCTGTGTACACATTGCCGTGCACGTTAAGATCCCTTGGCAGTTGGAATTTGATAATAGATACATGTAACTAGAAAATAAAATAGTGTTTATGTTCATACTTTTCTCTACCAACCATGCTAATGAGAGAGAGAGAGAGAGAGAGAGAGAGAGCAAGAGAGAGATGGGATTTAACGTCCACTAGACACAAACTAGGTCATTTCGGGACTAACATATGGTTTAATTTCATTTCAATAATTCGCTTGCACGTAGGGGTCTTTAGCAGTGGGAGGAAACCGGAGGCCCTGGAGAAAACCCACAAGGTTGGACAGGCGACCCTACTCCTTGTCACGTACAACCGGGGATTACCATGCTAATGAAGACCGGCATTCATTATGCAGTGAGTTTATAAATCCTTGCCAAGTCATCCATCCTTCACCACTGACAACCTAGAAACCAGACTGGCAAATCCTGAGGAACTCCCTTGGTCAACACAAGGATCAAACATGCAAAGAAAATTGTAGTCCATAAAAACACTATAAAATCAATTGAATGCTGGATCTGAAGCCATACAGGTACACTTCCTTACCTTTGAGCAAGGGCGAGTTTTAATCGATCATTTTCATACTTGAGTTGAACTTCTGTTTGACTATTGGATGTTGTTGTTGCATTCTGTCCTCCCTGAGTTAAAGAGTTCCGTCTTTCCCGCAGACTACCACTGTCACTAGACTAAAGGAATAAACAAATAGCTATCAACAACAGGGAACACTATAGAGTTCAATCACACGAAAATCACAATCACTCCCACAAAATCCAATGAAAAATGACAATTGATCCTTGTTCTTGATCAATTAGGACCTCATGTATCTTCAAATATTAATATTATATAGAATATGAAGAAATAAAAAGATGATCTACAACCTTGTAATATACTTAAAGAAGTCAGTGATATATTCCAATCACTAGAGTTATTTCCCTTCACATGTTGGTTTCATAGGTAGTTTCATAGGTAGTGTCACAAACAAATTTTTGAATTAAAACTGAACCATATGTTAGTCCCAAAATGACCTACTTTGAGTTGAGTGAATGTTAAACATCATTTCTCTCATTCTCTTATTGAAATATTTGATATTTACCTGAATTGATGAAATACTGCTGTTACGTGAATGATGAACTTTATGGTTAATGAGTGGTGATCCTGTCTGATTGTCCGAACCACCATTTATTTCCTGAATTAGCTGTGACGAATTCTGTCGAGTTAAGTCTTTAATTTCTTTAAATTTTTCAATGAACTGAAAAGGAGAACAGACAAAAATTACAATAGAATCAAAACCGATATTTAATTTTTAAACGCTCATAATATCCTTCGTCTATACCAGTGATTCTCAATCAGAGATCTTCCTAAGTGTGCCGCAAAATTTTGAACGGCACACTAAGAAAATGCGAAAAGCCAATTGATCCCAATTGAGTATTCACTGGTGTCTACTGGTATGTTCATAGCTGTGGTTTTTTTTTAAAATTAAATTTGAGTCATTCTAGGTGTCGATGACTAGTCTGTGTCTACGATTGTATGCTGTCTATGACTTGCCATGTTTTTATTTTGCAAAATTAAAATATTTTTCATATATATTTAGCCAAGTGTGCCGCTGTCTTTTCATGTGTTCCAAGGTGTGCCGTTGTCAAAAAAAGATTGAGAACCACTGGTCTATTGGCTTGTTAACGTGATACAGGATACAGTTTTTTAACTAAGTTACATGTACCCCTTCTTTTTAGTAAAAATTGTTAATGTGACAGAGTTTTTAGCAAGATTTTTTTTTCAAATTTGGTGTCAAGCATTAGGGTCAAGGTCAAGAAAGGATGAACCCTATTGATTTTCAGCATTCAGCAACCTTACATGTATCTTCTGATACAGATTTATTGAACTATAAGGGAAAAATGCTTATCAAATTTTGTCTACATCATGTTATCCTTTCGGATGTAAGTTGCTCTCCATAGTTATCCTTTTTTTTTTTCTCAAGACATGGCTGCTGTGTCCGCATAGATCATATCATGTGGGTTACTAGCAGAATCTACTGATAGGGTGACCCACCATAAATAAATATCTCCATATATCTCGACAATTACGCCACAATACTTATATATATGCCAAGCCTCAAATCAGTTCCACACAATTATAGTCACTAAATAAACGATCATGTTGTACTTAATAAGCTATGACCATTAATCACGTATAAATAATAGACTGAAAACTGGTTCCAAGAGTCGTCCATAACATCCAGACACTTTTGAGTAAAAGATAGGTTACGTGCCCTTGTTTTGAAATTAGTCTCGCTTAACCAGTCTATCGACCATTCTACGTCTGATTGACAGGTCGGGATAATCAAGACTACTTTTTTACGAAACATAACAGAAAGCTAGAACAAGAAATTGAATTTAGAAATAAGCACGTTAGGTAGCTCAACAATCGTTTTAAGAAGCTTGTAAAAGTAAAATGAAACTACTGCTAGTATCATGTTCTTGCCTAACCTGAGTGTTTCAGAGATATTATTTGTACTAAACCAAAAGATGCCGCTCTTAACGGTACAGTTAATGATAAAGCGATTTAAAAAATGAAACGAACGTAATTTCTAAATCTGCTGTAATAACCAAGAAGCTTAATTTTACTGCTATTCAAAATCGTCAACAATAAATTTTTTACGGCTGTAATAGTTGATAGATTTGTAGAGAATTGCACGTGCCATGGCTATTTATAGTATCATACTGTCAGAAAGTTGGTCTCGGCACGGCGAATGTGCACGCTTCAGTGGTAGTCTCGAACTATCAGCGGTGGACTGTATTTCTGTGAGTACGTGGGCCACCCTACTACTGATTCAAAGAATTATAGTCCTATAATAAACCATATTTACATGAATTAAATTATAAAAGTTTAAATACTATTAACTCTAACTTGTATCTCATTTCTGTAGGAAATAAATTATTATCATCTAATTATAAAATAGTCAATCAGGGATTTTCTTAGGTACTTTGGGATAAGTCCAGGGTTCTGATGATTTGTGAAATTTGCACGTACCGAAGTTAAGAAAATTTAACATATTTTTCAGATTTAAGTTAACATTGATTTGTGGAATTTTTGCATGCACATGTAGACTCTACTAGCCCTGAAATTACAAAAATTCAACGTTGGTTTCACATTGCCAACTTGTGAAATCTTTGCCTATTATCTATTTCAGATTTAACATTGATAATGTAATTTGTCCCTTAGAAATATCCTCCAACTACCTCGCAAGCTCTCTCACACACTATCCACAGGAGAGACTCTACATGTATGTTACACTAAATATGCATATTCCACAAATTTTCTAGTCAATTTTCTCTGGTAATATTTAAAATCCTGTGAAACAAAGACAAGGTGGACATACACAATTCTGATCATAATCAATGCACATCCCTGGACAATCACTGCATCCATACATCAGATTGTAAAAAAATACCCCAACCTATCCATTCCTTCAGATTAGAATACCTTTTTCCTAAACTCTCAAACTAATTCATAATCAAATTACCTTAGATTTGGACATTTTCCTCTGATAAATGAAAACTTTAAAATAAATCCAATCGTCCGTTAGCAGTTGATGATGTGTAAATGTAACTAAACTAAGAGGTACATGTATAAATGGGTGTGGTTTGGTTATTTTGACCTTTTAGTTTAGGTAAGGATGGAGTTAGGTATGTAACTGGGCTATTACCACTAAAACTATATACACACTGTGTATTCACAGGATTGTCTATTTCTCTCTACTTAGGTAAGCAAATATTATACGGTAAATGTTACAATCGGGTATACAAGCTCAAGAGTTAAAGATACATTATGGGAGATTAGATAAAGAGCTTGCAGTTCTCACTATAATAGTTAAAAACTAGATAATGTAATGGCAATTTGCTCAAAAATTTCAGCCAAATTGATCCACTCTGAACCGAGAATTTAGCGATTGAATTTTTGGCCTAGCGTCGATCATCATTATTAAAGTCGGTAAGACAAAAAACATAGTCTTGATTATCCATTTCATGATTAAACCATGAATGAAAGTTGAGCAGCAAATCGGATCGAGAGATGATTATGGTCTGGATAAGTTAATTATGGTCTGGATAAGTTAATTAATGTCTAATTATATTAGATAACATTTCAGGTCTAAAGAAAGACCTGCAATAGGCAGATTTAGCTCTTGCATAATGTATGTTTAATTGTCTCCTTAAAACAGCTGATTGTCGTTTAAGGGATTTTGTTGTTTGAGGGATTTTGAATCTCCAATCTGATCTATATTTCGTCCCGGTTTTTTTATACTTTCGATGGCCTACACTACATGAATATCTGACAAATTGTACTGGAAGGTCGTGTCAAGGGTCGTACGAGCAGCTTTTGACCCTATGATGTTAAACAATAATTAATTAGAGTTGACGTTTCTATTGGTTTACCCACAGTTCCGTGCATGCATGCCAAGAACTCGCCGTAACAGACTGTTTCGTTGGCTAATCCCTCACTTCAACCAAAATGCTGGTAATATCACAACTCTTCTAGATTTATAATTATAAAAAAAAAACGAAACGAAAAATGAGAGAGAGAGAGAGAGAGAGAGAGAAATGGGGTTTAACGTCCACTCGACACAAACTAGGTCATTTCGGGACTAACATGATGGTTTAATTTTATTTCAATTTTATTTCAATAATTCACATGCGCATAGGGGCCTTTAGCAGTGGGAGGAAACCGGAGGACCCAGAGAAAACCCACGAGGTTGGACGGGCGACCCTACTCCTTGTCACGTACAACCGGGGATTCGAAATCACGCCAGTTAACTCAATGACAGGCTTTATGATACAGCACGCACACACTAACCATTCAGCCATCCAACCCCCCAAACGAAATAGGATCTGTGTTTTAATCAGAATGTTTAATCTCTTGCAAACTACTTAAATATTGTTAAAGTCTAATCTGTAAAAGAGATATCTGTGGCCAATTTGGTTCAACACTGTTAAATATTTATAAAGAAATGATGACTTGGACATTTCGCAACATTTGACATCCTCTATCTATGGATGACATAAACAACCTAGTGTTAGGTAAAATCTTTTGATGAGCCTCTTTTTTAAAATACAAACAAATCCCAAACATAGATATTTTGGCATTCTTGACATCCTCTATCTGCGGATGATATAAAGAAACTAGTGTTAGGTAAAATCTTTTGATGAGCCTCTTTTTTAAAATACAAACAAATCCCAAACATAGATATTTTGGCATTGTTTACATAATTAATGTTTAACAATCAATTTAAGTACATTTTATAGGGCTGTGTATTGCGGCCAAAAATCTCACTGCAATAAATTGCGATACTTGACAAAAAGCATTGCAATATCTTGCAGTATTGCAATATTTCGATAAAGTCGGGGTTTATCACAAAGCACAGTTTTATTTTGAATAGTTTTATTGTTTTTTATAACTTTGGTCTTTGACATATAACGGCGATTTCATCAGGAATTTGAATTTTTTCTCGTTTTGTCATGAACCGCGGGCCCCTCAGGCCCATAATAAGCTGGGCTTTGGGCGACTTTAACAGAATGAATATTTTCTTTTCAAGAAGACCCTCTTGAATTTCAGTTTAATTAAATTTTCATTCCAATACAGTGAGTTGAAATCAGTTTCTTTCCTTATTTGAGATTCATGTTTGGCTGTTTACCACTCAAGTTATATCTCAAAGTTGGATCAAATTGTGGATCTAACATCTTAAATATGAACCCTAAATCCACACTTTCATATATTACCCAAATCAACGATGTTTTTTTACCTGTTAAATTGTTATGTTGAAAGCAAGAAATAATTTAACTGAACAGTGTAACTCTGACAATGGTACTCTGACAAGGAAAATCATTTGGACTGTGGCTATATCAATTCAAATTTCTTTCCTAAGGAACAACTATTAAAATTCTGCATCCAAATAAAAAGTACTTTAGTTGCTCTTTTCAAAAAGCTTTTTAGTAATTCCAAATATTTAAGTTTTAAAAGTTTAACAAAATACTGTCTAGAAGTAGAATTGAAGAATAGTATTTGAAGTTAACTGAATTTGAGGAATCGGATCATGAATCAAACAGATATGAGTGAGAGAGAGAAATGGGTTTTAACGTCCACTCAATACAAACTAGGTCATTTTGGGACTAACATATGTTTTTTTTTTTCATTTTATTTTTTTTAAAATTATATTTCAATAATTCGCTTGCTGGAGGGGTCTTTAGCAGTGGGAGGAAACCTGAGGACCCAGATAAAACCCACGAGGTTGGACAGGCGACCCTACTCCTTGTCACATACAACCGAGGATTCGAAACCACGCCAGTTGATTCAATGACAGGCCTTATGATACAGCACGCACGACGTGCTAACTATTCGGCCATCCAATCCCCCCAGATCTTTTAGAACTTATACACCTGGTTGAAAATTAGGAAAATCATTATATATTGCTTTGATCAAACCCCATTCAAAACTTATGCTGGGCTCTTTAAAGTTATAGTTATGTCACAGGCCAAGAGGGAAGAGGATAACTAGTCTGAGTCCTGAGATCTGCTAAGAAAATTCAAGTTATCTCCCATTGTATAGAATTAAGCCCTAGATTACACCACTTGTCACTGTACACACTATGTTGTTATAACTGACACGACTTGAGGTGTAGTTCAGTGTCCAGCGTTATTTGTTTTGATTAGAGTACGAGACCCAGTCGCCACTTGCTGGACAAACAAACGCTGTCAGTCTCGGACAAACAGAGATTCCATAACAAAGAACAACGTAAACCAACCTTGACCTCTATAATAGTATGACAGACGTTTCCTCACACTTCTCAAACAGAAAACCCCTCATTATTTTAATGACATAAATTCCTTAAAGTTTCAGAGAAATGTTTGGTTGACAATTTTGTTAATTATCGAGAATTTAGAGATCAGTTTTGCCCAAAAAGCCAGGAATTTGCAATAAAACAAATATACACCATATTCAGACCATATTATTTAGATTGCAATTTGGTAATGAAATGAAATGAGGTTTAACATCCTACTGTTCTGCTCCAACTGGGCTAATGAAGACGGGCATACGCCATACAGTGTGCTATGAGGGAAATTTTGCCCAGACAGCGCCACTACGACCTACTCTTATATCGAATTCCAACTGTCAAGGGTTCTTTTACGTCCACGCCAATATGTACACAGAACCTCGATTTCTAATCCCATCTGAACGACAGAGACTGCAATTGGGTGAAGCGGTATGGCACTAGGTTTGCAACTTGGTCTTTGGTTTGGATCCTTTGGGATTTTCAAAGTGCGATTCTTTCTTGAAATTGATTAAAACAATAGAGTATCAATTGGTAGGATTAAGACAATGGGTTTTCATTCGAGAAATAGCATCAACATGTTAAAGCTAGGTTCTCACTATCATGATTCGTGCTATGATAGAAATTCTGGTTTTAATCGTGGAGTTATCGAGGAGTAATTGTGGTGATCCTATAAGGTCTTATCATATTCATATATTGAGGATAGTCAACCCCGAATTCACAAAGCATTCTCAGACTTTCGTTAGGTATTTACTCAAAATTGTTCACTTTAATTTAACTAAAATATAGCTCTTTACAAAACTTTTATTGTTTTAATGTATCAAATACATCAATAAGAAACTTTGCGCAAAGTTTGGTATTTCTCGATCAAAAATATTTCTCATAAACAGTGATTGAAATTTGAGTAAATTCTTCAGGGCCTTATCATATTCATATATTGAGGATAGTCACAGCAATCGTATCGAAATGTAGCCGAATGTATCTGTACGTAGCGGATTGTGGACTTAATAGGGACAATCCTAATGTAACACATCGTACGATAGTGGGAACCTGGCATTATTGATAATTTCTAAATAATTTGTCAAATCGAAAATCTAATTGTTCCATTGTCATATTCTTTTGCCATTTGTAATTTAGATGATCATGAGCGCCAACCCTTGTCCTTTGAATCTATATGGTACTCACCTTCGTTAAATCCACCTCTGTAGGGAACCCGAGACCGTAAACTATATTAGCTCGTGGATCCAACCACTGACCAAACTTCTGGGAGGTTTTCGTAAAAGTCATATTTGGTGTGATGACACTGTTCACAACAGCCTGCAGAATACAAAAAATTTTAAAACACTGAGAATATTATTATTACTGTTGGACAAGAAGTTTCTTCAGGACACTCCAGTGTGATTTCCTTTTGGAAAGAACAATGGAAGAACATTAAATCTGATTTCATTTCATTTTGAAGGCTGGGCAAAGTTCCTTCCCCCACAGGACACTGCATCTTCATTAGACTGGTTGGAGCTACAGTGAGTGGATCTGTGAGTAAGGTGGTGTCTCATTACACTGTAACCCAGGTATCATTTAATCTTGTGTATCTAGCACTAATTTTTCACATTCCTTAAATATCAAATCTTTGTTTAAAAATTCATAACAACTGTTTAAAATCACCATAAATCATTTAATTTGTACTTCTGTCCAGTTTAAAGCTGACCATTCAATTTTGATAATGAGTGTCCAATTAACAAGTGTTTAATTTCTCAATCACTGTTAAAAAATAAACAACCCAATTGATTAATGATGTATAATGATTAATTTTTGAACAGTGGTCAGGTAATTAAATACTTGTAAATTGAACACTCATTATCAAAATTAATTAATCTTAAACTGGACACAAGTAAAAATTAGATGATTTGGGGTGATTTTAAAAGATTTTGTGGAATTTTTAAACAAAGGTTTGATATTAAACGAATGTGAAGATAGTGCTAGGTACACAATGATGCCTGGGTTACAGTGTTACCCAGGAGGCCCCATTACCCGGAGGGCCTGAGCACCTTCCAGCCAGGTTTACCATTATTAGTGATGCAAGACAGTGAACAAGGCCCTCAGTTCACAAAGCATTCTCAGACTTAAGTTAAGAATTTACTCAAAATTGTTTGCCTTATGTTAACTAAAATATAGCCCTTTATAAAACTTCTGTTACTTTAATGTAAAATACATCAATAAGAAACTATGTGCAAAGATTTGTGCTTCTGGATCAAAGTTGACTCGGGGCCTGACAAGTACAAATAACAGCATCTAGTCGGATTGGATAGTATGTACATGTAAACCCAGGTCCAGTGTATACGACGGCATGCCCATAAAAGAACCCTTGGCAGTTGGAATTCAATGAAGCGTACGCCACTGTCTGGGCAAAATTGACGGATGCCCTTTTTTATTAGCCCAGTTGGTGCAGAAGAGTAAGATATTTATTTCTATTGTAAATATCTGTCCTACCTTTTGGCCATCTACTCCAATAATTCTGTATGAGTTACGAGAATTGTCATAGTAATACGAAATGTTGGTCGCTTGTTTTGTGGCCGGAATCCAGTTTTTCTTTGTATCTGGATCAATTTGGAAGACATGTGCCTTCGTTGAAAACAGGGGCTGCTCCCTGAAATGACAAAACATCAAAATAAACATACAAGTACATATTATTAGAATTTGAGAATTTTCAAACAATAACTTAGAATTAGTACTGAAGTTCACTTTTCAACAAATAACTTTTATAAATGATATATATAACATTTGCCACTAGCAATTCAAAGTCGTCATTTTATAAACATAATGTTTATTAGTTATTTAATATTGTTAGTAATCAGGAAGAAGTCATTAAGTGGGCGTTATGTCTCTAAGGTGTTAAAACTGTGACTGTTGAATGATAAACACCACTATTGTCCGGGGGTCTGTTTCACGAAATTTTAACTGAGATAAAATCCAAATTTTAGTAATTTGATTGGATAATATTAGATTGATTTTAGTGCTTAGACAATCAAAATTGAAGTATCTACTAAAATTTGGATTTTATCTTTAGTTAAAATTTCGTGAAACAGGGCCCAGGTTTGTGTATTCAATAGTGATGGATGTTATAATTTAAGTGTGCTTTTACACCAGTAGTGACAGCTAGTTAGTACACACATGCTAATTAAAGACATATGTATAATTTCTAACCATTTTCTATATATAGCAAACATTAATTTATAATAATTATCACTTATACGATTTACTGTAATGACAAAAATGGCCATTACTAAAAGGCTCAGGTTCATAAGTCAATGTTATTTAGACCAGTTGCAAGTAAAATTTGTGTCAGTTTGTTAGTTTAATGGTGCACTCACTCAATACACTATATTACTTGACATAATAAAACCTATAAACATATTAAAATTCCACTTCGCTACATCAGTTTATACCAGTGTCAGTATTTGAGCAGTTAAAAGTAGCAATATTGTTTTTAATTTATAAATAAAAACAACCACATCCATTTTATCTTAAGTATACATGTATTCTGGTCATCTACAAACTTTCTCAAATCTAATGTTTGAAAACTCAATTCTTAAATTTGTTGGCTATAACATTTTCTTACAGTAGGTGATGTTATAGAGCGACAAACAATGGACATTATTCAAGAATATTCCTAAAAGTTTTAAAACTGTTACAAATTTCTAAGCTACTAACAATTAGTATATAACAGCACATCAATTGACTTGCAGAGATGTATAGTTAACTTGATTCATAAATCAGTGGTACACTGACGAATTTCTACAAAAATAAATAAATAAAACCAATTCATCCAATCAAGAGAGCAACCACCATTACACTCTTTAAAAACTGTACCTGTAGAAATTTATAATGTCGGTCTCATAATAACAGATCCAATGTTGTTTCCAACAATATTCAACCATTGTTGACATCAATCACAGACAGCTACTTTGTTCTCCAAGCCAAGACCAGCATGTGGTATAAATGACCAAGCAAATACACATATATATGTATATAAAACCTTGCAAAGGGGGGGATGGAGGCAGAGAGAGTCAAGAGCTTGAGTGGATAAAGGTATATACTATTATAGAAACTTTCAAAGGGGGAATAGAGGCCGAGGGAGCCCAGAAGCTCCAGTTGATAAAGGAACATCTTCCACTGTTATTAAACATACATGTACACATACATATATGTACAAATTAAAACCCTTGCAAAAGGGTGCATGGAGGTGGAGAAAAGTCTCTACATACATGTACATATCTATACAAATATTTGTGACTGTCATATGTTTGTTTGTTTGTTCAGGGCTCGCGGCTACACTAGGGCTATTCTGAGGCTGAAATTTGGTGGGTAGGGGTAGCTCTTACCGTGAAATAACATAAGCTAGGTGACGTTGGCCTACCGCATTATGCAAGAGCTAAATCTGGCGATTGCAGGTCTTTCTTTATGCCTTAAATGTTATATAAATCATTAATTAGACTTTGTTTATTATTGTAACAACAGCGACAATGACAAACATGGCAACACTTATTGTAACACTGATAACTTGGCTCTGAGCATAGTAATTTGACTGAAAATTTCAATATATTCCCTTTTCATTATCTACTTTTTAACTATTATAGCAAGAACTGCCAGCTATTTATCTAATCTTACATAACGCCCTCTTTAATCTATGGACAATTAGATATTGTCCAAAAATGCCAATGATGATCAGTGACATTAAGTACCTGTACATATAACTCCCTCTCCCCTTTCTCCAGTCACGCTATCGTTAACCCGTAGGTGTGCCTACTTTAAATACAGCTTCCAATTAGTGGTTTTATTAGCAAAGATTTGTTTTGTTTGATTAAGGAATAGCAGAAGAAAACTGTGTGTGCTAATTAAGTGTACTGAGGTTTTTGTCACATGTTTGTGTGTACTACCACACACACATTCTTCAACTTGTGACCCTGATTTCAACAAACACATAGTTTGGGTTTCGAGAAAACATAAAGTAAGCTCTCTTCTTCAACTTTTAATCACTTGACTGATTACTATTCAATCTCTTTAGAATTAAAATCAAAAATAAGTTAGGATTCACCTTATTATCAAAAGTCAGTTTCTGGCTTAGCCCATATATCTATTTAGACTTACAGTAAAGCAATTTCCATGAGCGAGGGACCAGGGGTTTAATGTCCACTCAACACAAACTAGATCATTTTGGAACTAACACACTATCTCATTAAAGGTTGGACAGGCAGACCCTACTCCTTGTCACAGACACAGACCTTATGACCATTCACACACCCACCACACCCATTTGCTATTAGTATTGGTATAAACAGTAGTAGCTATTTCCAAGATATTGTACAATTTCCAAACATTAAAGTCTGTGTGCATCATTCACATTTTTCAGCAAATATCACATTTTCCACAGATTAATCCAAATTGATTATTCAAAATTTAATCAAATCAAAATTAATAGTAGATAATCATCTGGATTGTATGTGGAGTTGGCTTACTTTTACCATTTTTTATTTATATCGTCTCAGAGGATGCTGAATGTTCACAAATTTTCAATTCATCATTTCTTTGAAAATACTGAACGGAAATGAATCATTTTTGGTCTAACATTCATTTTATAGTCTCAACTTTCAAAATACTGTAATTTGTAAGGGATTAACAATGGACATGACGATGAGAGACTTCAGTTACTTGAACTAATGTGTAAATTGTAGATACTGCACCCAAGGTACATGTACGTGTACAAATGAGAATTGTACAATTACTGAAAAAAAATGACTTTTCCTTATATACCCCAGTGCCAAACATAATATCAGCAAAGGAATCTATAAGGAAGTTTTTACCACCTAAGTTACAATCATGTTTGGAATTTTTCTAAACACCTGGATTTCTTTTATTTTTGAATATGTATTTAAATCTAAAATTAAAATTTGTGTTATTGTGCTGTTAATAATATCAAACTCAATAGATCCTTCTATTGGTGAAATGTAACTAGGGCATATGATATGCCGAAAGGCATTTGAGATTTAATTATGGTTTGTTCGTATAAATTTGTAATAACTACAATCTAAGTACGATCTATCAAAAGTTATACATTCAGATATTTTGTTTACATTTACTAATATGTAAAGTGCATAAATGTTAATTTGGCCCATGATTGCACTGAGGTATATGACCCAATTTACATGTACACCAGGATTATTGAAAATCAATTCCTGTATTAACAATCTATTCTATATTTGTAACAATTAGCTACATGTATTTAAATTGTTTTATTTTTGTAAAACATATGCCTATCTATGTCATAAAGAGTTAGAATTGAGCTATACAGTAACTATGGAAATGACATCAACTGTAAGCTGATCAACTCCAATTTCCTTATGTCACCAGTGTCACTGAGTACATGTAAGGAAGATCAGTCATACTGTAAATATTATACAATATGCAAATTTTTGCAAATTATATAACAGATATAAGGTCAGTAAACTATAAAACATGCTTATGGAAGAACAATTACAAATTTAATTTTGTGACATTTTGAAGAGTATCTCAACATTTTCAAGCAAGTACAGTATAGACAAGCAATTTAATAACAACAAATCACAATCCAGATGAGGTCAGGACCAGTTTCTGGTAAAAAAAAAACCCAAGAAACAATCAATCACCACACAGGAAAACTTTATCACCAAAAATAGCCCAGACTTAAAATTTTATTGCCAAAATAACATTTTTATAGGAATCGCATCGCAAACCATTCGGCCATCCAACCCCCCACACAAGCATTGGTTTCATCACTGATTTTTTAATTCCAACAATCTTACCTATTAAGGAAACACATACATGTACAGGCCTTTAATTTGTGCATCTTTCCACTAGTAATAGGTCAGTCAATCTAGCTCATTTTACAGCTTGATCCACTGTAAATTGCAAAAGAAATGACTGGCTACATGTACATGTAAATCTATATAAATCACTGACTCAAATCTTTCTACCAGTACTAGATTTTACATACAACTACCTTATATAGAAACAAGTTCTATGTAGAAATAATGACGCTACTTCGGACATGAAGCACCTGTTGTTCACAAACAAATATCATCATGATTTTTAATTGATTACAGTGTATCTACTGTACCAGAAATTCATTGATAAACTTCAATTTATAAACCTCTCATACATGTACAAATACAAATGTACTGTATATAAAGATATATACATGTACAGGTCCTGTGAGAGGTGAGGTAAGGGATTCTGCCACAGCCTTTTGCCCCTGGGGACAACTGACGATCTGCACAGTCGGTCAAAATGAACAATGTTTTTCTGTACAAGTATAATCAGCCCTATTCAATAATTCATGTAATATAAAGAGAGATATGGGGTTTAACGTCTACTAGACACAAATCAGGTCATTTCGGGACTAACACATGGTTCAATTTTATTTCAATAATTTGCTGCATGTAGGGGTCTTTAGCAGTGGGAGGAAACCGGAGCAACTGGAGAAAACCCACGAGGCTAGACAGGCGGACCTACTCCTGGTCACATACAACCGGGGAATCGAAACCACGCCAGTTGATTCAACGACAGACCTTATGATACAAAGCGCATTTGCTAACCATTCGGCCATCCAAC